GGGATTCCTCTGGCGCCGGCACCGCCTCCGGCACGTGCTCAGCAGCAGCAACAGCAGGCGCCTCAGCTTCCACTGGGTACTCCTCGCCCTTCGCTGCTGCAACGGCAGAAACCTCCGTTGCCTCCTCATGGGGTTCCTCCCCAATTTCTTGCCAAGAATCATCTTTTTCGTGAACACAATCATCCTCCTGTTCTTCGTACGAGGACGCCCCTGATGAACCATGAAGAGTAAGCACTCTTTTACGCTCCTCCTCTCGCCTCATTGCTTCTGCCTCCTCATGACGGGCGTGTCCTGCACCCAACGCTGTGACCTCGCGTAGCAGTGGAGGATGCCCCATTGAATGCCATGCCACAATGGATGTGTACTTCATATATGGTCCAAATGTGCTGCGTGACAACTCCACCATTGACTGCCAAAGCTCGTGCTCTTCCTCCTCCTCAATTTCATACCGTTCTGAGACTTCCCTGCGGCTGACGGAGAACAGACTAACCCCGTACATGTCAAAAAGCCAGCGTAACATACAGCACCAATCCTCGTGTTCCTCTTGCTCAACCGTGTTACGAGATTCTTGCCACACTTCAGCAAATGTCTTCTTCTCGGGCTTGGACTTCACTCCATACCGCTCAATCCAAAGATTACGGAAGTAGTCCGGTGAAGCCAGACGAAACACGTTACGACGCATGGTGAGGCGTTCCTCCCCTTCATCACGTTCCAGACGCTCACGAGCATCAGCCTCCCGTTGACTGCACTGGCCCAAGCACAGCAAAAGAAACCATAACTCAGAGCACAACTTCTCAATGGGTTGGCGCTGGCGTTTCTCCAGAGCAGTCAGCCATTGACGCAACTCCTGCTCCTCCTCCACAAGCTGGTTATACTTGGTCCTTGGAAATCCAGGGAAAAAGCGTCTCTTCAGTGGCACGATACCACGCGGTGGAACCGGAGGTAGCCACACTGCTGTTTCTTGCTCCATCACCATAAGTGCATGCTTATCGGGCACAATGTTGCGGGCAGATGCGCTTTCCGCTCTCTTGCGCTCGCCAATCATTACGCCAATGAGATGGCGAAGATCATTCACAGCTGCATCAACCTCCGCCTCGATGAGTTTCCGTCTGCCTGTTTCCTCTCGGCATATCCGCTTTAGCAGCTCATCAGGCAACGGCTCACGCGCGACCAACGCGGCATAATACTCAGCAAACGAATGCGACACCAAGGTCATTGGAATAACCCAATAAAGCAAAGGATAGCTGAGCAATAGATGAAAGTGGCACGAGAAAAAATGAAGTAACCCAAGTAAAGAAGTCCAAAACTCCGAAAGTGTCCACTTATTTTTTGTTGCTGGAGTGGTGTTGTTTGCGTGTGTGCTGTTTGTTTGTTTGTTTTTGAGCGGATCTGTTTTTTCTTCCTTTTTTTTGTGTTATTGCGTGTATGTCTGCTGTCACAACTCTCCACACCTTAGTTGCGACAGTGCGATTTTCCTCACGTTGTTCCAACATTTCAGTGGTACGAAGCGAAGAGCGGCAGGAAGTGAAAGTAATGGGAGATGCATGTCACACCGCACACGAACGCACAGGCATGCCAGTGTAATTTCAATCATTGAGGGAATGTCGCACAGAGCAAAAGAACAACACAACAAAAATCACATAAGATTGCATAGCGGAGGCGGAGCGGGTCGTCCACGCCAGCAAGAGCACCGGAGGCACGGAAGAGATGGGAGTGGGGAGAGAATGTTGTATACACGCACACACATACATACACGCCCAGGTATTCCTCCACACCGCCCCATATGCCTCTGGCGTGTGTAAATTAAGGTGAAATAGATGCAACAAATGAACAAGGTGAAAAACTGTGATAGCCCACAACGCCCCAATGCAATAAAAAGTAAGCTACGAAGACCTGCATACCAGGGACAGCATCCAGACATACACGTCCATGCACACGCGTACGTCGAGAGAGGAAGTGAGATAAAATTGTTATGGGGGGGAAAAAATATGGAGGGCGTCGGCACAAAGTGGCAACAAAACTCAAGCACAACGAAAACAAAGAAAAAGTTGCACACCGTGGCATTTACCCCGCGCAAATACTTTCTCGCTCACCCACCCCAAGCCCTTCAGTCCAGAAGGAGCAAATCCTTCACTTTGAAATTCCGTTGAATGGAAAAAGAGTTGTGCGTATGTCTACTTAATGTTTCACCTAAAGAAGCACTGGGATACCGGCACATACATCTCTAGTGATGAAAAATAATAATCACAAAAACACTTTCACAGAGCCGGATCAACTACTAAAAGACAAACCGACAACAAACAGAAAAATGGCAACAAGAAGAACAGAGAAACAAACAAAAGTGAACGTTAAGACTTCAAAAAAAAAAAAAGAACACGTGACCTTCGGTTCGTCAAGCATCTCTACCCCTTCTTCGTCCACATCGTATTTTAATTTATTGCGTTTGTACCCGCGTGTTCGTCTCTCTCCCGCGGCGACGATAGTGCCAACAACATGAGGTTTGCGCGCACAAATATGCAAGTCCGTACATGTTCTTTCATTGCGGACCGGTTATTATTGTTGCTATGTTTTGTGTTGCCCATGCGTGGCACCACCGCTCCCTCCCTCGTTCGTCTGTCGGCGCCGCATGTGGCTGCCGCCCAGCTCCCGTCGTGCGCAGTACGTGGGCTGCTGCACCCTGCGCATAGCAAAGCGCAGATTCGACAGGCGAAAGTCCGGGGGATCCAACGCGAGCTGTTGCACGTCCCACCCCGCATGCCGAAGTGCCTCATGAAACTCGGCACCGTGCCGCAACCACAAAGACTGCTCCTCGTTGCACGAGCGGAGAAACCGAGTTAGTTCCCCCAGTGTTTCAGCATGGTACAACAGTGAGGTGTAGGCCAAAAGGTAGGCCGTCAGTAAATGCAACTGATCACAATCCTTGTGAATCAACAGCACAAGTCGAGGGCCAACACCGCTGCGAAAGAACGTGTCTTTCGTTGCGGCACCTGACGATGAGGTTGAAAACAACGGTCTATGTACCTTTGGAAGCTCCCAGCGCAACCAGCACTCTTTCAACGATAGCGGAGCTGTGGGTTCCCACAAGGCCAATAAAAACATCTCCGATGAGCAAACATACAACACATCCTCCTCAAGCCTGTCAAAACGAACCCCAAGTTTACTAACGGGAGGGCTTACGTACAAAAGCTTGGTGCGATCATTAGGATTGGATGCCTTTTCATCCAGCATGCATAGCCCTATACGTTCGTTTACCTCCTGTGGAGTGGGTGTATGGCGCCGATGCACACCCTCCCTGCCCACGTAGTCGCGCAACACCACAGAAAGCGTCGTGACATTCAAAATACGAAATGCTATTTTGTTCATTGACAGGTAGGATAAAACTAGGTTCAACGCACAGCAAAATACTACAGTGACAAGTTGTGCTACCAGCGAGGTCACAACGGAAGTGTACATAATGCCAAATGCTGTAAAAAGTGTGTAAATCACCATTCCAAAGGAGTTTAACTTCTTTGTGAGCTCCGCAAGATTGTTGCTCAGGGCAAAGTGCTGCAGGGCAGCAGCACGTGACACCAAAAACATAAGCGACGCCGATTGCCGCACACATGAGGTTATGACGGCACCTAAGAGAAGATACTGCGACAGCAGCGAGGGAATCAGCATGTCGGCAATCACAGAAAGATTGTGCATGCCGACACTAACAAAAAACCAAAACTTGGGTCGGTTTTCGTATGAAACAATACGATTTGCCAGATACGCGGCGGCAAGTGCCGGGAGCAGGTCCTTCAGCATCCACAGCTGGGGAGAGGAACCAAGAAAAAAACCATTCAGAATAGACTGGTAGCCAATAGAAGAGGCAAAACTGGAAACGGAAGAACTACAGAGTGAGAGAAGAAAATAACGACGAAAACCAACCTCGCATGATTCTGGGTATCCTCGTGGCATTCCAAAAAGACACAAACGCTGAAGAAGACTTTTCTCGCGATGAGAAACGGGCAGAAACGTCCCGGGCTCCTCATGTGACCTCTCCCACGTGTATATGTTCTTGCACTGCGAAAAGCCTAGTTCCATCATGAGCGGCCTGTCATTCGCCGCAGCAGGAGGCATAGAAACACCACCCGATGCGACAGCCCCACGATTCTCATTGGCCACACAATATTTATTACTATGCCCTTGTTTTTCGGTCGCCAGTGCAACTATGGGAAGCGTGGCAATATACCTCCGTTGGCATGTGCTATTGGAAGCAGTAGCCATGCAACTAGGAGTGCTTCCCGTGCACACGCGAAGCACTTCCTGATAAAAGTGTCGCAGCATTGGAACGCCGCGTCCACGGACCGGAACGCCCCGAAGTGCTATATATCGAGGATATGTAATTAATGGTGGCACTGTATAGAGGCAAAAGAAGAGTGGGAAACCCAGCAAGCATGGAGGAATTGGCAAGGAAGAGAAGCAAATACAGAGACAAGGCAAAGGCAGGTGTCACACCAGTGCAGAAGAAACGAAAAAAAAAAATTAGTCCAAAAACTCCCAACAATCAAATAATAATAATAAATGTACAGATGTAACTCGACCTACCAACCTACCGACCCATACATACATGCACACAGATTATACCAGTAAATATACAACATGTGCAAGAAATATGCAAACAAAATGCATGCATAATGTTGATAAAGAGAACAGAGGAAAAAAAAAAGAGCAGACACTGTTACTGCCCTATCGATACAGAGGTGGAAATAGCTTGACGCTCAAGAAGCTGCCGGCGCACTCGTTCGGTTGTCTCAGTAAGAGAGACCTCCTCTGAGGACCTCGTGTTTTTGAGCTGTTGCAATGTGACGCGCATTTCAGCGAGAAGCTTATCTCTCACTTTAATGTCTCTTGCCTGCTTCTCCACAAACGCGTTCAGCGCCTCATTCTCCAGCCACAAGTCATGAGATGTCTTGTAAGACCTGAGAATCTCCTGCAGGTAATCTGTGAGCGTAGTCACCTGTTCACTCATTCGGGTGCAATCCTTTAATGCGGCGGAGCGACTCATATTTGCCAGCTCCAACATCTCACGTGTCTCTTGCAGCTGGCGTTCGGTATCTTCAAGACTGCGCCGCAACAGCACCGTGTTTGTTTCATTTAACTCCTGTTGAAAGGGAGGAATAGCCAACGAGACTCCATCCCGGACAGAAGTCTTGTTGCGAGGTGCAGCCTCTCCCCCTCCCACAATCGCGGATTGTTCACGATGCGGCAGAAGGATGTCATTTGGTTTATGTTCATCAACACCCCTGCCTCGTCTCGCGCGAAGCCACAGCAAATACGTTGCCACAGAATCCTCCTGCTCCAGCTGCTTTTTCACAGCTTCTGTGCAATCTGCCTGTGATGCATCATTTAGTTCCCTCGCAAAAAGAAGATCCATGCACTCGCGGAGGGCACGAACACAGGAAGAGATACGCCAGCTCTCCTCGTCGTTCTGTTCTTTCCTGCACCCCCCTAGAAATGAACCTCCGTGCCGTCGCCCACAACCGTAAGAAGCCTCAACAGGGGCCCTGCTGTGAGTTTCCGCTTTCTGCAACTCCTCGTTCTCCGCCAGGAGTACCCAGAACTGCTCCTCCACCTGCTGCAGCCTGGCGTTTTCCGCCTTAAGACGCCGCAGCTCCGCCTCTAACTCTCGCACCTGCAATGCGTGCGGTACATGGACCAGCCCTGCACTGGGCTGTCCAACTTTCGCCGATTCGTGACACAACAGCGGCGCCGTCGCGGTGTCCGTTCTTCCGCTGTTTTTCACCACTCCAGTCACTCTTCTCCCCCTGGCAGCACTCTCCGGCAAAGTGGCAGAAGAAGAGGGGAGAAAACACTTTACGTGCCGTGGCGTCAGCAAAGGCATTTGCATGCACCTTCAACGGCGCCTCTCCGCCCACAAAAAAATAAAACAAACTAAAACAGCAACGTTTGTCTGCGGCAATCCATCCTTCAACCCGTGTGTGTGTGTGTGGCGGCGCCACGAATAGGCGGAGAAAGGAAGACGCAGAAGCAAAAGGGTACAAGGGCAACCTCAAAATGAAGAGCAATCAATCAATCAAATAGGTCAGGCAACAGGCGTGTTAACTTGGAAACACGGCAGATGACTGCTAGAGGCGGCGCCGGTGGACAAAACACAGAAGCAACTCAAACGCCCCAACAAAGTTGTCAATCCTTTTTAATTATTGTGAGTGCCTTGTGTGTGTGTGTATGTGTGTGCTTGCCCCCGTTGCAACTGCTGTTAGGTCGCCTTCATACTCCGCGTAACTGTTTCGTGCGATAGCCTCTACCCCGCAAAAATAACTCGTTTTTTTTTCTTACAATTGTTTACCACGCTGTACATAACAAAAAAACAACAACAACAACAACGTACATGGGTGGGCAGCCGGTACGACGTAAGTCATACAAACAACCGGCCAGAGGCGATACGACGGTAGTGGAGGCAATGTCTCCGCTGCGGCACCACCGCCCTAGCCCTGTGTGGCGTTTGGTGGGGCGGTGTGGCGCCCCGACCATACGTGCAGCAAGGCAGGTGCCCCCAAAGAAGAAGAGGAACTAAACCCGGCATTCGCACAACGCCACGGCCACCAAAAGAAGAATGTATGTGTCAAGAAAAAAGAAGCGAATAACAATTTCAAAACGCATGCAAAAAAAAAAACACCTAAAATAAAACAGCTGCAAGTGGATCTTGCCTGTGAGAGCTCTCGCCCTCTCTCAATCTCGTGCAATGGAAAGTGTGTGCTTGAATTTCGAGGTAAACACAAAGAGTACGGGTGGAGGAAGGCTAAATGCATCCAACGAGGCACGCACATGCACTCACACCTCCCCCATGCTGCTTACCGTAGCAACGCATTTCCATCCAGTCCTTCCTCAATTTTAGTCACTATTGAGCCACGAAGGTTCGCCCAGAGGCGATGCAGGAGAGGCAGCATCATCTAATTTTGCACTCGCCTCCCTTTCAGGGGTAACATCCTCCTCTTCAACCTCACTCTGTAGATTTTCTTCTTCAGACGCCGTTTCCACCTCAGTGCCGGCCTTGCTGTCTGTACCGGCCTTGCTGTCCGTGTCGGCATGCACTTCCGCCAGCGCATTTGCAGAAACGTCACCATCCCCAGCTTTATAGTGCTCACTCAGGGAAGAAACGGTTGCGTTGGTGATCTGCAAATTTTTGTCCTCTGGCGTATCCCCAGTACTGGAACCAGCATCCTCAAGCCACGACGGAGCTGTATAGTTATCATCCTTCTCCTGTTCCTCTTTTTCTTTTGTCTTCTCAGGTGTCAGTGGTACTGATGCAGCTTCATCCTCGGGATCCTTCTCCGGCATTGGAAGGTCTCTTTGAGCTTCATCACTGACTTCATTATCCGGTACTGGTGCGTGCAATTCAGCTTGATGCTTAGCCTCCAACACCGGAACATTCTCATCCTCAAGAAAGCTCAGATCCCTGGGTCTGTCGTTTGAAGAATGCACCTCCATACACGAGGAGGCGTGGTCTGCTTCCAGCTTTGTCGTGCCATCCGTGGAAATTACAGAACTGCATTGCTCGGCAGGCATCGTTTTCACCCTGGTCTGGCCCTGTTCTACACGGTGCTTAAGCTTATCTATCGCTCTTTCAATAGAATCTCCCTTGGGCTCACTCACTGCATTTGCAGCACTCAGAGACCAAGAGTTTGGTGCCCTTCGCGTAGTTCCTTCCTCCAACACCAATTCCCGTCTCTTATCGCCTTCCTCAATGCTCGGAGAGGCGTTCGCCCCATCGGGGTGAAGCTTCTTTGTTGAATCCTCCTCTGGGTAATCCGTGTGGTTAACCCCATTTAATAGCGGGGCCTCACTCTGCTTCAGCTCTTCATGCACTTTTTGTTGGTTGGCATTTGCTGATAAATTATTCAACTCCTTCCGCAACTGGCGGATGCGCATGACAAGATTGGCTCGCTCTTTGTCAGCGTCTTTCGTACTGCCCTTCTTGGAGCCGTGTCGCGCGGCGTCCGGCTTCCCTGATCTCAACTGGCGCAGTTCCCGCCGCAGTTGCTGAATTTCCTGGACCCTCCGTTGGTTCTCCTCGATAAGCCCACGCAACTCCGGATCATTGTTCTTTGTTTCATCCTGCTTTTTATTCGCCAGCTCCAGCTGCTCCTCTAATTGCTGCACGCGAACTTCTGCGTCTTGGTACATCTTCATCGCCTCGGTTGCTTCGTGCTGAGCCTTTTCAAAGGAACGATGCGTCAGAACCGTTTCAGCCCGTATCTCCTCCCTGAGTCGCTTGTTCATCATCTCCGAGGCCTGCCCAACCTCGTTGTTAATGAGCACCTTCTCATTATGGAGAATTGTCAGTGACAGTGCGCGTTTTTCCTCCGTGAGCCTCGATATATCGGCCTTGCAATCCTCAATGAGGGAAAAATAGGAGTGCAATCGCTTCTTATAAAAAACCTTATTACGAAGCTGATTCCGAAGCGATATCAAATACTCCCTCTCCCCGCGCAGCTCTTGGCGGACCTGCTCACGATGCAACGCCCATTCAATCACCGCGGTTGTCTTTCGCAGCTGCTGACGCCCATGCGAGGAACTGCCTTTGCTATCCCTCACATTCGTTTTGGTTCCACTCGGGTACTTCTCTGCACGTTCATTTTCTAGCACCCGCATGCGAAGCTTATCATTGTGCGCAAGCAGTTGAGAGAGGTCCTCCGTTGTGTTCACGGTCATTGGTTCACCGCCGTAATCAACCCCAGCCGACTCCCACTGAGATCTTTTAGAGGGCACAGGTGGGGGACCCCTCCTCGCTTTCTCCTGCTTGGAGTACGTGATGCTTCGCTTTGAGGCGCTGGATCAAGATGTCGATCCTTCCCGTAGTGCTTCTCGAGCAGTTATCTTCCTTGCTTATACTTGACAACTTTGAGGGCGATTTAGGGAGCTCTCTATCGTGATCCCCGTCCTTTGTCAAAGGACCATGTGCATTCTCACTGATGTCACTGGTTTCATGTTTGTCGTTCGTGCTAACGCCCCTGGAGCTCACACTACCCTTGTCGTTTTCTAAGTTGTTCTGACGAAGATGTGCAGTTTCGCATACGCCCTTGGTCCCGGTGCTGCCGCGCTCTCTACTGCTCGACGCACCAGACGCGCGAGAAACCTCCTTCGATGAGATGCTCTCAAAGCCGTCGCTGTAGGTGTCGGAAACGTCGTTTTTCTCATGTTGTTTCACGCCCGTCACTGAGAGCTTGCTGCTGCTCGTGTCGGACGAACGGTAAGAAATCTCAGTCATCACCTCTGTTGTACCTCTTCGTGTGGTTTAGGCCGAAGTTTCTACACGAGCCGCGGTAAAATAGCGCGCTCCCTTTCTCTTCCTACCACAATCAAAAGAAGGCGGATAACCAGAGAAGACTACTTCACAGCACACAGACGCACACGCACCATAACGCTTCCAGAAGCTCACACCACAAAAAAAAAAACGCCACAAACAAAAAGGCATCAACGTCCGCAGCAATGCCTGCCGTTGCGGCATTCGCTCTCTACATGATAGGGAGAAGAGGGTCCATGCACACGAGGTACAACTCCCCAGACCACGACAACGCGACGCCGAAGCACCTCTCAGTGTAAAATGGCACATGTATTTCATTCATCATCCATTTTCGTTTCCTTTTTGCTTCGCTTATTATCCCCCCTCTTCTCACGTTTGCTTCCTATTGCAAGCAAACAGATGGTCCGGCCCTGGTTGTCCTCCTAACAGGAGGCTTCACTTCACCTCAAGGATGCGACGCAACTCCGCCCTCTGCTCTAGGGTTAAGAAACCAGGGAACTTTGTGTCACACTCCACGATGAGATCTCCACGCGGGTTGGAGAGATCTTCATTGCGCGGTAAACCCTGACCTGCAACGCGACGGCGGTACCTGGGGTGCACAATCTCATCAATAAGAACGGTGATGTCGACCCCCTCCATTGTTTTTACATTCAGCGTGACACCGCAGAGCGCCTCGCTAAGCGTGATGGGGATCACAACGACAAGGTCGTCCCCTTCACGCCGAAAACGGTCATGGGGCAGCAACTCCAGCACCACCACCACATCCCCCCTTGCAAATCCCTCCCTCCAGTTGCCCTTTCCGTCCACGACAAATCTGTCACCAGCATGGGCGCCCCTCGGCACACGAAGATTAAAGCATTCCTCCGTAATGGTTTCTTGTCCATGATGGAAAAGGCGGCACTGCCAAGTGGCACGACACATCGCACCATAGAACACGTCCTCTAGCGTCACTGGCAAGGAGACCTCAATAGGCTCAACCTTTGCAAGGGTTTTCGGGATGACAGCACTGGTACTAAAGAAATTGTGTTGGTTGTTGCGTAGCCCACTGATGTCACCAATTACCTGAAAGGGGTTGTCCACACCAAAAAAGCGACGAAATACTTCATAGGGATCAACGGCATCAAGGTCGATGCCTCCGGGAACGCCTTGTTGACTTGTCCCACCGTGTCTCACACCCTCCTCACCGTACATGTCGTAGATGCCTCGTGCCTTGGGATTGGATAGCACCACGTATGCCTGGGACACGTGCTTAAACTGTTTCTCGAGCGCCTTTGGGTCAGGGTGGTTGGGGTTGCACTGTGGGTTGTACGCCATGGATTGGCGGCGGTACGCCTTTGCGATGGCGTCATCCTCCGCCTCGTTGTCGACACCCAAGACATCGTACAAGTTCGACATGGTTACTTTGTCGTGTGTATTTGCGTGTTCTGCTCCTCTTCCTCCCCGCTTCAGCGGCAGTCACCGTCCAGCGCTGCTTCGACTGCACTGGAGAAAAAGAGAAACAATACAAAACATAATAATAATAATAATGAGACGGAAAAAGTCATGATGCAACAAAGTACAAGCTGAGGCCGACAGGGGAAAGTGTGGCAATGCCCATCAGAGAAATGTAGCAGTCGTCGCATCGAAGCCAACAGCTTCAAGCGCAAAATTCAAAAACAAACCAAAACATTTATACGCCGTTTCACACAAATACGAATCCAGCGCAAGGCGAAAGCAAAGCGAGGAAAAAAGCAGCAACAACAAAAAAAAAACAATAATGTACACGCAAGAGCAAAGAACATTGATAAACCGTGGATACAAGCAAAAACAGAAAAACAAAACACGGAAAAGAAAAATAGAAACTGACTGCATTTCCCCACTCCCTCGCATTGAACAAAATTTGGCAGCTCTCACATCTTTTCTTTCTCTCTCCCGATTGTTTTGCTGACCGTGCTCGCGTGACGTAATGGGGCAAACACCTTGCGTTCAAGCCTCATTCACCGCGGCGGCCCACGCACCGTCGTTACGACGACACGCCGGGACTCCTGAGACTGTCCGTACTCCCCCCACTCTCAATGACAATAATGTGCGTGCCTCATGCCAACTAATGTACTACCGCGCATCTAGCCACGAACGAGAAGCCCCTGCCCCCGCACTCCGCGGAGTCACCGTCAGCCGAACAGCCATTCCCGGCAACTGAAGCTCCTCCTCAGGCGACATTCCGGTTCTACCGAAGTTCCTGGCGACCAGCGTCATCATCCGCAAGCTCGACGCGGCCGCCGACACTGGGTGACGCGTGTCTAGTATTTGATAAGGGCCGTGCGAGGAAGTGAATGTCGAGTGGGGTGACGACACCTCAGCAGCCCGCCGCGTTACCGTTGCAGTTCCAGGAGCACGGGCCCACTTTCGCCTGCACAAACAAACAGACGGATTCCGCAATAGTCATTCCCATCATGCACCGAAACTGGTTGAGAAACCCCGTTGTACGACAGCACCAGACAAAGCTGCATGCCGATGGTGGCATAACCCGCATTTGAGGACTTAACGCACACTTGGCACCGACGCCCCACTGCAATTAAGTGGATGGTGGAATATTCATTCAAGTCATAAAAGCACAATGGGATGTGGGAAATCATCACGTCTCAGCCATGCGCAGCGCGGAGCAAAGCCGCATGCACCATCTCCTGACATGCAATCTTATCGAGCTCCGTTCAACGCGTTTACAGCAAATTGCTTCCTAGCAAATCCATCGCAAAGGTCATATGTAAATTCCACATGGCGCGGAGGTGTTGCCCACACCAGCAACACTTGAGAGATAAAACGGGACGCAACAACGTCTGTAGTGTTTCACATTATTTTGGTATATCCCCTCCCCACGTCATTTCCCTGATTTCAAGCACAGCCCTATCAAGCAATGCCATGCTAGTCCTCTTTAATCTCTCGGCCAGCATACAGAGGCCCTTTGCGTCCCTAAAGGAAGCCATGTAAAAAGCCTTCCCAAGCAGACGATGCACAGCAGCATAAATAGCGGCGTCAGTCTCTCGTTATGAATCTTTTTATTGCATCGAAACTCTTAATTTCATTAAATCTCTTCCGTGTAATGACGTCCGAGACACCATAGAGCGATAAAAAAAAAGATTTTTCCGCATTGACAACAGCTGCGGCAGCGAAGCCGTCTTCCACGCCCGCATCTCCTCCGCCGACAATTTGAGTACATCCTTCGACGCGTGTGGAGCTGAGTCCTCATCCTGGAAATGCCACACATCACCGCCTCCATGCTGGTCCGTATTTCCATTCTGCATAGTCAAAACAGCGCGGCAAGAACTAGCCAGTTCCTTTGACAAAGCTCTACGTGCAGAGTCCCTCACTTCGGACATCTCTCCATGAAGATCATCCGGCACCACCTCCATAGTCTGCATCCTACTTGGTTGCCCACGTAGTTTTCCCATAAGACACGTTATGCCTGCAGCCTGCTTCCGTTCATGGGAAAACCCTCTGCTATCGGGTACTATTTCACCCTGGCACAGTAACTGAAAAACAGAATCCGCAATTCCCTTCGCGCTCCTACAACTAGGAGCCACATCATCTTGGTCCTGGGAGGAGAAGGGGGGTTGGGGGGTTGGCGAGAGATTCCGTCCCAAAATGTCCTCATCAGGCTACACTCCTGCCTGCATGTGACGTCGACGATTGTCTTGCGGGACCTGAAAAAATCACTATTTATAAAGATGTATTCTCTGTGCAAAGAGGAAAAACAAAATGACAAGGAAAACAGCGTATCTCCCTTCGCCCCACAAATACGCATGTCACAGTTGGAGAGACATCCCTTCTGATAGCTCACAGTAAGTGATTAGCTTCGCTCTTTTTCGTTGTGTGAAGAAAGCGGAAAGTCAAGGGAGTTATGTTCCCCTTGTCTCCTCCTCCTCCTCCATCCTGTTCCCTCTTCCTAACTCCAGCGTCACCCACACCTCACCCCCACCGTGTCAAGAAGAGAGCCCAAATCACTACACGACAACACAGGCGACAGTGCACCTTACGATGAGAGAAGGGAAGAAACAAAAAAAAACAGAGGAACATATATAACACACAAATGTTATAAACAACACGCAGATTGCACGCATCCCCCGTCCATTTGTATGCAAATTAATAGACACATTTTAGCGGGTGGGAAGGAAAGCCACCACAACAAATCAAGGAAACGCCTCCATTAAAAACCCAAAAACAAACAAGCACATACACACATTGGGAGTTCACAGTCATTCCTTCCTTTTGTGTGTATGTATGTATTAGTTGTGTGCTGTCTTAGCGAGGATGCATTGCTTGCGTACATGCTTTCACAGTTTCCTCCCTGGATACCTGGAATATTTCCTTTTTATTTTTCGTTTTCTTCTTTATGCCTCAAGGTTTCACTTAGTTGCGTTATTGTATGTATATTTGTGAAGTCGCTGCAAATACATGATAACCCACAATCACTTGTGAAATTGTGGAAAGTCCAAGTAAAAATGACACGCACGCACAATTACCGCAGGCAAGCAAGAAGCTACTGTTGTTTTACCTTTCCACGCCTGTCGGGATGGCTGTCGCGAAGGTCCGTAATGGCTTGCCACACGTGATCCCGCAACTCCTCCGCCGTCTTGAACTTCGACGCATCGACGGCGTCACCACATGAGAAGTATGCTGTGGCCTGGTCCATCAGAGGCGAGAAAAGGGGCCAGCAGTCCTGCGTCCCACTGATGGCGACAGGAACAATCATTGCCCCCTCCTCCACAGCCAGCTTGAAGAAGCCAAGACGAAACGGTTGCAGCCCGCCCTCAGGCTCCAAGTTGCGCATGCCCTCTGGAAACAAGGCAATAGGACGTCCACGGCGCAACTTGAGACGAGCTTCCTCCATCATGACTCCCACAGTCCCTTTGACCGTCTCAAACCCGGCCCGTTTGTTCACGAAGTGAACCCGCAAATCGTCGGCGTTGGCCATGCACCAGCCGCCAAACGGAACGCGAAACAGCCCGTTCTTCGCAATCCACGTGGCGTCAAGAGGAAAAAGCACGCGAATCATCAGAAACGGATCTGCAGCGCTCAGGTGATTAATCATAATCAGAACCTTCTTCCCCTTCACCCTGGGAAAGGGCTTCAGTATGTGGCTCCTCCAAAGCGGATTCAGAAAGTCGATGCACAAAAAGCTGGCACATCTAAAGATAAAACCGCAGCAATCCTGCTGCTTGCAGCGGCTTATGAACGGATACGTAACGACCATGAATAGCACCTGCAAAATCCATGACACGATCCAGGCAATAATCAATAAAAAAAGAATGTAAGCTGTCACAAGTAGGCGAAGTATTTTGGAGGAAGCCATGGTTGTCCTCTAGTTCTGCCACAAAATACTGTAGATATGGCTTCTGTGTCGTAGTGTGTTATCCTCTTGTTCCTATTATTCGTCTGCGTTTACACGCAGACTCCGCGCTTCTTGCTCCTCCTTCCCATTCACCAAAAAGAAGAAAAGAAGAAAAAAAAGAATACTCTCATGTGTCACACCTCGCCCGCCTCTTCGGCAAAATTATATACTAAAAAAAAAAAAAATGGCATGTCCAAAAGAACGCATTGTGGTGGGGTGTAACGCCACGAGAGAGTTCCAGGTCGTCTACTATTCGCATATAGCAATACTATCCTCCTCATGCTCCTCTTCCTCATCATCGACGTTATCTGGGTTTGCAAGCACCTCGCGCAAACTCAATCCGTATCTCCTTTTTTTGGCATGCTGAACGGCCAAGCGGTACTGCAATGAATCGTCGGAGGGCTGATGGCGCAAGATGCTCGTGCTGCAGCACGTACTAGGAAGGGAAGGTGTGCGGTTTTCAGACGGAGCCTGACAGGTCGAGCCCTCCAAGCGGAGGCTTGGCGTGCCTGATGTCTCTGCACGTGAAAGACGAACTGGACAACTAGTGGAACGCGTTCCCCCAACGGAAATCCTGAGTGCATCACCAACCACGCAATTGTAGACGTTGTAGCTGGCATGCCTCCCATGGCGACTAGTAAAAGAAAGTTTACCAACTCGTGGGTCGCTCCAAGATGCCCGTGCGTGGCGTCCTTTGACGCACTGTGTGAGGTAAGCCTGCAGAACCCCTTTGCGAGTACCTGAGATGGCATCTGATGTTCGAACCGTGACAGGGTCCAGCGGTGCACCGTGGTCTATCATAGTTTTATCGGACGCTGCGGAGGAGAAGGTTATGAAATGTAGAGACCCATACCTGTCTCTATGCATGTTTTGGCCCTGCAAGCCCACCTGGGGCGTGCCCGAGAAACCGAGGAGAGCCTTCAGTGGGGGTGTACGGCTTCTGCGAATGAAAAACGCTCGCTCGTAGACTTTTTCAGGCTCCTCTGAAGTGCTGTTCTCGTAGTTCTCCAACTCGGAGGTGGGCGCGAGGTACGCCATCGCAGAAGCAACACTACTCCCAGCGACATCATCGACTTCCACCGTGTCCTCCACAAAATTCCCTTCATTCACGTCGCCAGCAGATGTGCAGAGGACCGACGTACATGAAATCGTCGGGGCGCTGTGGCGCTCGCCCTCCGCTGTGCTACCCGCCAATGTGGTGGTGGTTCCAGTGTATCGCACACTATCCGTCGCATTGCCCAATTCTCTTTCGCGTTCCATGCTCACATTCACAGGCACAGGCCCCCCCCCTCCCTCCCCCCCCCGCTCCCACTTAGAAATTCAGCCAACAACGATTGGTAAAGACGCAAAGACTAGTGGAGCTTTGCTGTGTCCACGTGCTACAGGCGTATGTAATGGAACTCACACTCCCCCGTGTAGGGCCGTCAACAGAGAGAGGCCAGGCAAGACTGGCCACTACAAAGTGAGGACGCTAAGAAGGAACACAAACAGACGACAAGAGAGAGTGTGCTTGTGTGTGAAATACAATACAAACAAAGAGAAAAAAAAAAAACATCACAGCGGGAATTCACAGTTTGTGCCACTACGCCCAGCATTCACTGCTTCAGATGAGATATATTCCCCCTTCATCGCCTCATACACATCTTATTACACCAATCAACTAAATTCAAAGGGCGCGTCTTCTCATAACTCGGTTCACGTCACGTATTGACAAAGTGGCAGTCTTTGGGGCTCCCCACCTGCCAGGCCCTCCTTCGCCTAAAGGACATTAGTAGTAATGAAGAAGTGGGGCGGAATACCAAACAGCAACAACAAAAAAAAAAAAAACTGCCCCCATGCCGCCTTTCAACGCGGGGTATCGTCTCATTCGTCCCATCGAAACGCAGACTCCTTACAAAAGCCTCTAAAACGACAACGAACAACAACAGCAGCATACTGTACACACTTGGCGACACACGTGCAACAGTCAGCAAGTCAGCAGACGTAGGCCGCTGCAGGAATCAAAAAAATAATAATAATAATATATTATTACTCTTCTTTACGCGTTGAACTTACTGACCGTCCCGCCGGAGGAGCACCACACGCACAGACACACACACAAATAAAAAAAAAAACGTACAAGAAGTCACTCTCCTAGCAATGCAGGCTCTCTCCTTAGCTCCTGGCATTGCCAATTTCCCCAGCTGAGCTTCCGTCTCATCATCATCCTCCCTATATTTCTCTTTCTCTTTTTCCTCGTCCTCCTCTTCCTCTTCCTCTTTCTCCTCCTCTTCCTCTTCCTCTTCCTCTTCCTCCTCCTCTTCCTCTTCCTCTTCCTCTTCCTCTTCCTCTTCCTCTTCTTCACTGTGTTCTTCCTTCTTCCACGTGTGCCGATTCCTTAGTTTGCCCCGTTTAACGTTTAGCGGTCCCGCAGCCATTAGATCCATACTATTTAAATCAATCTCCCGCCGTGCCGCACTTTCGCTCGCCTCAGTTTCCACGTACTGTTCCTGAAAGGCCGCCACGTCTGCCACGTTGGTGCATCTGCTGTAGCCCTCCAAAAGCTCCGCATTAATGTCAAAAAAACTCTCTCCCCAGGAAAAGTATGACAAAACGGACCTCGCGTCCTCCATGCGGCCAACAACGGCGAGAGCCCCCGCCAATGCCTCAGCACAGTTCAGCTTTGATGGTCGGCCGTAGTTGACTGGATTGGCGGCCATTAAAAGCGGCAACAATCGTGGAGCACCCATCTTCATCTGTCGCCACGGCACCGCATGCAGTTGCTTCCACGAACAGTCAACCACCGCGATACCAAAGCGGGCAACGATATCCGCATCGGCAGGGCTCACGGCCTCAGTGGCAGTTGGTGTGAGAACAACCCCACGAAAGGGTTCTCGCAGCTTTAAAAGACGCAATGCATTGTGACGGTACAAGCGCCGACCCGAGCAGGCATCAGGATCGCACTGCTCAAAGTCCCACATCGCCAACGGCACGCTACAAGGGTTGGTGCATGGCTCACAGTTACGAGGTCCACCTCGGGGTGCACTCTTCCAGCCTCGTTGCCCCTCGTCTCTGCCAGAGCGGCCCTTTGGCTTCCCCATGTGTGTATGTGGACCCCCCCCCAAAAAAAAAAAAAAGATCTGCAGAAGCAAAAATAAAATGCCAAAGAGTATATAAAATAACACAGCAAGAGAACGACGAGCAACTATTAAGGGGTATCCAATAGAATCAGAAATACACAGGGAAGGAGTGATGAAGAGAATGCGTGGTTGGAAATAATTATTAGGGGATATTCATGTAAATTCGATTCGTCTGGTTCTTTCGGATGCCAGGCGACAGATGCAACGCTTGAAAGGTCATCAGCATATTATCTCCATAGCCAAAACTGGAAGAGAACCGTCATGCATGCGGCACACCACACCATTACTGTAATGTGTATATGGGTATGTTATATTATAATACGCATGCGGTGGGTCGGTCGGCTGCCGTGTCAACCACTTCGCATTGGCGGCATGTAAGCGCCTTGCCAACGCCAAATACGCATTCGCCTTGGTCACACAAATAAGCAGATGTTCATTGCAGCAGCAACAGCAACAGCAACATAACCGCGTGATCAATACTTACGATTGAGTCGCCTCCCCCCTGCCTTCGCTGCCGGTAACGTAGCATCCTTCCCCTTACTCTCCGCCTTCTTCACATCGACGAAGACGTCACCCTTGTTGTCCCTCGCCTTGTCCTCGTGCGAGGGAACGATCGCCTGATCCTTGCCAGGCGCCTCTTTGCGCTCACGCTTCCTTTCGCCCATCACGAGATTGTCTTTGGCCTCGCCAAAGATGTCCTCCTCATTGCGCTCCGCGCGGCTTCGTTTGGAACGCATGCGCTTTGCCAAATATTCATCCCTCTCCTTCTCTAGGCGTCGAAGGTGCTCCACGTACTTTTGACGCTTAACTCGGTGCTTCTTCGCCATTCCCGCAACTGACGCACAACCGTCCAAGAGCGGCTCTCAACACACTTTGGAGCCTCTCTGCCTTCCTCCCTTCCCTTTGCAAAACACCACAATGCGAGGAAAGAGAATAGCGGTAGAGGCATCATCCGCAAGGATGTCACGGCTACAGCAGCTGTACGTGTTGAGAAGGATATTAGTACGAGCAGGACCAAAAAATCGCAACGTCCGACACTTACATAGGGACAGATGAGCCACAGGCACATACATACACGGTGTCATTATATTACATCGGTTCACAACAACTAAACTGAGGTGCACCAGGCAGACAGTAGTTACATGGAGCACCCTCATGAGCCAAATTTGTTGCGGCTGCGTTTGTTTCCCTGCTCCAGAATATTTCGAAAAAAAGCCACACCAAAAATAGATAAAGAAGGAGAGAGAAACATATGGAAGAAAGAAATGCTTCTCCTCTCGCGCTCTCTGCACACATTCCGTTTCCACCACCATCAACTCCTCCTCAACGGCCTTTTCCTCCCGTCAATTGATCACCGGAAGAATTCATCGTCCTGGTCAGCCTCCTTCGTCGCTACAGGGCCTTGTTTTACTTCCGTGCCCTGCATCGTCTCAACAGGTGGACGAGAACGCCACATAATCGGTTTCCCACGCCGCTTCACAACGGGTGCCTTCGAGCGTTCAAGGGCACGTCTGTTGCGTTCCTCTCTTTCTATCGACTGTCGTTCTAATTGTACAACACGGGCTTTGTGACGGCGCTCCTTGTCACGCATCTTAATGACACTCATAATAAGTGACTGCTCCACACCGTTTTCAGGGTCGTTAATATAGCGGATGTACTCGTCTATCTTGTTCTCAATAATGGTAAGCATCTCCACCGGCCACATGTTGGCACCAGCATCAGTGTCATTGTGTCCATCCACGCCACCACCAACTGCAGCGCCAGAACCACGCCGTTCCTTCTTTCTGCCCTTCGCTTTTGGTTTGGCCACGCAGTGGGAGGCGTGCTTCTGCGCAGGGATCGGTTTTGACCTGCCAGCACCCTGCATTGCATTCTCGGCTCCCTCACCATCCTCGGGGCGACGCGCAGCGGTAGACTGCTGCTGGCTGATGCAGAGAAATATATCCGCCACAACACGTTCGATAAGCTTTTTCAGCACCTCCTGCCGCATCACGCTTCCAGCTTTGTCCCTCCTGAGGCCACTGATACAATTCCTGTTGCGTGCAACATCACCCGCCGTATCAGCGCCACCTTCAATGCTGTCTAGGTCCAACAAACGCTCCTCTAGTTGTCTCAAACGTTGCTGTGCCCCCTTCATTCGTGTCGCCAACGACTCCATCTGTGCATGTCGCTGTCGTACCATGGTGGACATTTCTTCCTGCTCATGAAAATATTCCATGGCGACACGTTCCAGCTCCTCTTCGAGTTCCTGGCTGTTTTGAATAAGAAACAAGTTCCCCTCCTCAACATTGATAAAAATGTCAAGTATCTGGTCTGGCTCCGAGAAGTACATTGGGATGCGCTCCTGGGAGTAATTTTTGTCGAGAATGGCACGAACTTCCTCAACAGAAAGTGCCCCCACCTCCCGCTTAATGCTTGCGGTTGCCTCCTCCTGCCGCCGCTGTGCCTCAGCCTCAAGGTCCTGATGCAGCTTTTCAAGCTGTACTTCAAGGGAAACCTCCTCCTCCTCTTCGACTTCCTCCAAGTTCCCATCATCCTTTTCACCAAAGTCGAGCCGCCCCAGAAATGCAGCCCCTCTTTCCAGTGCGGTGGTAATCCTTCGCTGACGAGATTCGCGTCGAGCTGCGGCTTTTCCCACCGCCTCTGCTAATTCCTCTGCCCGGCGCGTGTACGCTTCCTCTGTCTCACGTAGAATCACCTCACTAATATCCTTGATACGAAGGCCACAGAGAACATCGTAGAACCACTGGGGTTCGGTGAGGCTATCCATAAACTGCTTGTACTCCATACATAGCTCCAACTGTGCATCCGTCTTGCGCATGTCTTGTTCCATGTGACTGATCTGTGCTGAGAGCTTCTTGATGTCGATGAGACGCTCCAGTTTAGCTTTGCTCTCAACCTCAGCCCGCCTTACAGCAGCATCCTGTTCTAAGTTGCTATGCTTGAGGAAATTGTTAAATTTCTCCTCCGTACTGGCAAGCTGCTCCTGCTGCTGACGAAGTCGCTTCTCTGCACGATCCATTTCCTCCTCCAAGTGGCGTATCTCCGCCTCCTTATTTGCAAGCGCAAGCCGCATGAGACCCACATCCCGCTTCTTGGCAATAAACATATCCGTGCTATGCACCTCCCTGATTTCCACCGTACGAAGGCCACGCCCACTGCGACGCACCACCGGGCATATGGCGGCACCTCCACGAATAGAGATGGTGTTCTTTGTCTCCGGTTTTGTTTGAGGCCGTCGTGAAAGCACCGCGAGTTCCTTCGCCATCACGGCATCGTCTTTCTTGATGATCTCTGCGATTGTTTGAGTGTTGTCTCGGTTTTTTTCCGAAACAGCGACCTCGTTGCTTTCCTCCGTGAATGGATTGTTTGGCATCAGCGTTGTGTCCCGCTGCATTCCCTCCGTCCAAGAAACAGACAGAAAATGGCACACTTTCTTATTCACTCCGCAGTTACCTTTTCCTCCTCCACTACCTCTTGTGTACGCCAATGATGCTTTCGGGCGCGCAAAACACACACACACACACAAAAAAAAAGAAAAAAAAATCAAAGAACTACCAGAACGGATAGCGGCGCAAAAATACACAGTAAGAAGAGAGAACACAGGCAGGCGAGAAACAAGCACGAAAAGAGAGGAGAAAACAGCTCCTGCTGACTATGGCACACGTATCCAGTGGAAAGCAATGATAGGAGAAGAGAACCTCTCCACACCCCTCTTTTTGTCTTGCTTTTTTCTTCTCCCCACCCCCTCATCCCCTCCCTTCTTCCTCTTCCTCCTCCTCTTCCTCTTCATCCCTGCCGTTGTTGTTATTCCCTTTGCCACCTGCCCCTAGACTTCACCTCCCAAGTGAGAAACTTGCAGCTGAGGGGATGTCAAAACACATTGTGCGTTAACGCACAGTCGTGCGGATTGGAAATGGGATGGCCGGGAAAAGAAGGCACACGCACCACCCCCGCGCCTCGGAGAGCAGACACACCCACACTCTCGTGTACAAGCGGGACGTGTCCAAGTGGGGGTTCCTCCACAGGAGGAACTTATTGCCCCAAGGGCGCCTTCACCATAACCACATCCTCCTCCCTCTCTACTTGCCTTGTCGTCTTTGCTGAAGGTCGCCACATGCCCCACGCTTCTTCTCTTTCATCGCGTGCTTCTTCTTGTCGCTGTTTCCTCTGGACGCCAACTTAATTTGTACACCATCCCCTCCGTTGACGGAGGCAGTGTCCCATGCCCAGCCACGCGAGCCTGATTAGGTTTTGGTTGCGGCCGACTTTGCTGCTGCCGCCTCACTTCGTAGTCTGCGGAGTCAAAAAACTGTTTCTGCTGCGGTTGCTGCAATCCACGAAGACGTGGATCACGTTTCTTTGGCATATCAACTCCCGGAGGAGCCCCGCAGGAAGACATGGTGCTGAATCTAAGCTGCCTCGGCGGCGAACAAAAACACGGTGGAGCAATGTATGCACCGCATATAGTGAGAAATAGAAAATGTTGAGAGAAAGAACGGTTGAGCAGAGTGGAGAAAGCCCCTCACAGATACCCAGCGAAAAAAAAACTAAAAAGAGCACAGATGCCACAGAGAAAAAAAAGCAAAAAAAAAAGGTGGTTTTATTCCCGCAAATTTTGTTGTTGCCTCAAAAAAAAACCGCGATCAGGAACTATAAATGCCCGCACATACAACCCAGTGTTTTCCTTTTTTCCACGGACGTTTCCTCTTCCTTTCTTTTCTGTCTTCTTTGTGGTTCATCTTTTCCCTTCCCTTCTTTTTCTTTTTCAGCACAACGCAAGGCATAAGCAGCAATGTAACCTCAGCGAAGGAAAGAACCACAACAGAAAAACAAATACATTCCAGCACCTTGTAACACACTCACGCACGTATACATATTTAGAGGAAAACAAATGGAAAACACATTGAACAGCGAACATTCCTCAAGACAAGCCACATTTCAGCCTTGTCTCCTGCCCACCGTCCTCCCCAAAAGCGTCGCTCCCTCCCAAAGCAAGGCGTCACGTTCTGCATGCAGGATCAAAGTTTAGGGAAAAAAAACACACAAAGATAATAATAATAGTAATGGGGGAAAACTACAAATCCATATTCCGTTCTGCTGTATCATCGCTGTCATCAATGTCTCCATCTTCGCCGGTAGCGGCATCCATTTCTGGAAATAGGGACCACGGTTTGTATCTCTCGTCATCAGGTTCCACTGGCTTTGCAAAAACGGGTTCATCGCTTTCTTCCCGAATGTTCTTGAGCGCTTCTTCCCGCCGCTTGGAGATGCTGTCTTGCCACAGCTCATACCGCTGGATGCGACCAAGCTCCGCATTAAGGCTCGCTTCCGTCCCAATGCACACAGCTGTAACCAAGTTCTCAAGGGGTGGCGGTGGCGTCGTCACAGCGCTGCTATTGACGTCGTTGCCGCCACACAGGCGTCGCTCCAACTCTGTCAAGTCATGCACCTCCCGCACGAGGGCCATCATGGCATCTTCTTCCTCACTCATCACACGTGTGCAAAAGGTCCAAACGGCAGTCTTGGAGGGGGACTTGAGCGCATCGGCGTCCTGCATACTGTAGTGCTGGGCAAAGGGCGAATCGGACTTCTCAGACTCGTACACGCGAATACGTCTGTCGAGGTCTAGACGCAGCACATAGTTCTCACGCAGAGCGTCGTTGCATATTTTTTCCAAAACTTCCACAGAACGCAACTCGCTTGTCGCGTACACACTCCGCTGGAGTTTGTTCTCTTCGTTTAGGCGATGCGTAGAGAGGAAGGTGGCCCCACCCCTGCCGTCGTACTCTAGGGAGGCGTTCATTCGCTGCCCCAGATAGCCGGCGAAGGCAATGCAAGCAGAGCAATCCATGTAGGCGTAGGAAGGCCCATGAATACGAAAGCGAGGATCTCCCAAAGTCGCCGCGGAGGCTGACAACATGCTACCCAGAGTCAATAGGTAGATGACAAAAAGCAAAGACGTTTGCTTCACTGGGGCATTGACAGACAAAAAATGAGGCATGATGAGAAACTTTGCAAATCTTTTTTCTTTTTCGTTGATTTAATTTATTTTCCACGGTGTTGTTCTCTGCACGCACCCAGTCAAAAATATGATGCAAGCAAGAGGGCATTGGCAGGGGGGGGGGAGAGGAACAAGAAATGAGGTGAGCAGAGCAAGGTTCACACAGTTCTGTGCCTCTCCGATGGACTATCCACATATATGCAACACATCACGGGTACTACATGCTTCTTTCCACTCATACAACTAGTGGAAATAATGTTCAATTTTCCCTTTCGCCCCACGTTATTCCTTTTTTTTTGTTTTTCTTTTTTTGTGGGAAGGGGGCCTTTTCCTTCTCTGCACCCGCCTACCCCCTCCAAACATCGCATCGCCTTAAGCAACATAAAAAAAAAATAATAAGTGCGTGCTACATTTGTTGAACTGAAAGTGTTTTATACAAACATCGTTGACTGGCTCGGGCACCGCCTAGGCGGGGGTCGGAGCAATCTCCCGCTCTTTTTCGTTCCCTTCTTCATTCTCCTCACTGCAAACAAAGATCCAGTAATTTTCGTCGGCCAGTGGGCCCCCACGAGGTGTTGGCCCAGGGGCCGCAAACTTGTTGCAACAGACCTCATATTCCGGTCCAAAATCATTGTAGAAGACCGACTTAGTGCTCGCCAGTGGAACGTTGGTATTGTTATGGCGGATCACCAAGACAGCATCTCCTCTTACGGGCCTGTCACGCATGTCCTCACGATACGCTGGGCTCGAGAAATCCGCTACCCACATCGTCTCTGCACTGTTGCCGTCCGGTGAAAAGTACACGTCTTGATACTTTCCTGTCACCTTCGACGCGCTATTAGGCCCCTTGTGCTCCGAAGCAAGTGAGAGCGGATCATCGCACAGTTCTGGCACCGTCATGACAAAAAACGGTTGCCCGTAATGCACCAAATCCTTCTCCTCAGGGGGAGGGGGGATCATGTCAGTGGGCCCCGTAAGCGCTGGAACCAATACAAAGCAATTGCGCATTGTCGGACCACTGGCTGGCGCCGTTGAGCACACAACGTTCCATCCTGTAGATCGCAGCGAACGATCCTCTAAGTCAAGCGACAAAAAGCCTAGAGTTGCAGCATTTTGCAGCATAACTGGGGTATAGAAGTGCAGAAATCCATCTTTAGGCACGGGGGGCAATGAATACGGCGTGTTGTGATGCTTCACCTTGGCCAAAATGAACTGCGCCTCACTTGCGGCATCCACGACACCGCCATTGCGACCCTGCATGAGGCGCCTCCGATCTCGTGCATACGCCTCCTCCTCAAACCAGTTGCCTAACAGAGCTCTTCTGGGCATTTTACTGCTGCTTGGTTTATCCTCCTCTATTCTCCTCGTTGTATCTAACTACACTCGTTCGCCCAAACGCACCAGTGTTCAACTACTCCGCCTGTGCCTGTTTGTTGGGTTAGCTACTGTTTCCTCTTATCAGCACGTCTCCCCTTGTGAGTGCCTTTGGGTATCACGTCAAGCAAGGTTCAAACCGTCGACAGCTCTGGTATCTGCGTGTGTATGTAAGCAGCCACCAACGTGCAAAAGAAATCTAACGGAGGAGAGACGTCGGTACTCAACGCAGCAGCATAAACAAAAAAAAAAGTAGCATACAAGCAGGAACAAACTAACAGGAAAAAAAAAGGAAAAAGTAATAGTGAGTGCATGCGGTGCATAAAAATGAAGAGAAACGACATGCGCCGGGGGCACTGTCCGCTCACCAGATCCAATAAATTTTTACTTGTCACACGCCCATCAAATTGTGCAATGAAGAATGTCCGCACACCCACGCACATATACATCAAGGAATAAAGGTGACGGCGCAGAGGTAACGAGGGCAGGCCTGCAGCAGGTAACGGGAAATCTGTCTGTGTTTTATCGATTCTTTTATTTGCCCTCGTTGAAGTTTTTTCCCCATCATGCCTCCAAGAGTCCATATATGTGTGTGTGCGTGTGTATGGGAATTGAATAAATGCATATATTTCGACGCTCACGTACACCTTGCCCCGTCCTCTGCATACCCTTACACCACTCTTCGCTTGTTGAAGATTCGCTTAAGGTACCACACATTGCAGGCACCCATAAATGCAATAATTAATACCTCTACGGCTGACCAAATGACAACACGCGTGTTTGCCACCTCTGTCGTCGCGCGGTGGATACGCTCACGCCCCCTGAGGTACCGCTGCACCTCCTGCACCTCGCGAAGTCCCTGTTGAATGCGCATGATAGACCGCTCTAGCGGGTCCACTGCTTTTGCCATTTGATCCTTATTTGTATCCATTCCCGACTCCCCAACCGCTATGGAAAATGCCACCACCTTATTGGTAATGGTGCTCATCTTGTTGGAAAAGCAAAAGCGGTGACGGCCCGGCGTGCGTGTCTTGAAAAGCACACGAGCCTCAGCTTCGCGGACAGACTCCCAAATGTGGCTGTTGTCCGGTCCATAGATGGTCGCGTCAATATCAAGCGAGCCACCGGAGGTCACCATGTAGTGCAAGAACACTTTCACACCAATGCCAGTGATGTCCTCCAGGAAGCACTCATCCCTGTTCGCAGGAACCAGAATGGACACCGCGCCGTCATCTGCGAACGCCGGCGCCATTGCACAGCTGAGCAGAAGAAGCAACAAACAAATCCCTGGAACGCGCCACATGGGAAGGGCAAGCTGTGGAGTGCCCGTCATTAATGCAGTTGTTCCTGCGTCGTCAGGGAAAAAAAATTGGCTGGGTGGTATAATAATTGTCTCCTTCTCCGTTTTACGCGTGTGTGTCTGCGTGTTTTGTTTCGTTCGTGATGTTCTTTTTTTTATTGTTTGTTTGTTTACCACTTGTCGCTTTTGTCTTCCCTTTCCGTCTTTGGTAGACGCTTGCACTTGCGTGTATTCTCGCCGGCGCGTCAAGAAGCAAGAGTGAAAAACAAAAACAAAAACACCGAGAAAAAAACGGGTGCATCACAAAGAGTCAGCAAGGCATTCCGCGTGCACCTGCGGGCGCAGCTCCTCGACGGCGCCTCCCTTCCCACCGGCTCCCCCCCACACGACGTGTGTCTGTGTGTGTGTGTGAGAAAGAGAGAAGAAAAGGAAATAGAGGCCTACGCGTCTTGGCTGACGGTTTGAACGGGTGTTCCTCTCGGCGGGAGCCACATCGTCATAACCGCGCAGAGTGAGAAAAAACAAGGAGGGCCTCGACACGCCCACAGGCACATGCAACGGAGGAAAAACAGAAACCTAAAAAAAAAACGGAAGTGAGGTGTTTCCTTCGCCACAGGTAAAGCAAAAGTAAAACAGCCCTCACAGGAAGTACAGTGGCAAAAACCGCAGAAATATTTTGAATAAAAAAAAACATTAAAAAAAAAGAGGAGGAGGGAGAAACCTCAACTGCCGTTGATGTGTTCATTACAAACATAAAAGTACGGCGTCATTCCTCCCACACCACCCAGCCGTAAAGACAGCTGTCTCTACTACCACCACCACCATCAACCCTCATCCACCTCCCACCGTTTACTCCGTTCTTCTTCTCTGCCCCTTCCCCTGCTTCCTTCGCACCCCAAACATATATCCGCAGATATCTTCAGCTACAGGCGACACACACACGCGTCGATACATACATGTCCATCGCCTGCCCCCCTCCTGCTATTGTGGCCACACACTCCACTCGTTCACGCGGAAGACCGAGGCAGAGGAAGAGTTGTTGTTGTCGGGGTTATTTCTGCAACCTGCCATCATTTCTGGCGTTTTTGTGGGGGAGGGAGGGAAATAGGCAAAAATAAACTCAAGCGCAACGCAACAAAAAAAAAAACTACGCATGCACACACAGACAGAGATAGAACAAAAAAAAACGACATATGAGGAGGGAAGGTGGTCGTCACGGATTTTGTCTTTCATTCGTTCTCCTGGTAGCCCTTTCGTTGGGCACACCCACCCACACACCCACCAACACACAAGAGGAGTGCCGTCAAAAAAAAAAAAAAGAAGAGCTATACAAAAAAAAAAAGGGAATAAAGAAATCTTTCCTCCCTCATGACTAAACACAAAGTATCCGTCTGCAATTAGTTGTATCTCCCTCTGCCTACTACTCCTTTTTCTTTTGTTGTTGCTGTTTGTGTTTCTTTTTTATCCCGATGTTTTTTTTTGTTACTTTCGGTCTCTTCTAATTCAACGCAAATTTGTTTGTCCCATTTTTTTTTCGTGCTCCCCGCCCCCCTGGGAGGTTGGAGGACGCACAGGCACAGACACGTGTGTGGCAGGCAGTAGCCACTCCTCATTTCACCGCAGACTCCGCGCTTATACTCGTGTGTGTGTGTGTGTGTGTGTGTGTGTGTGTGTGACCGTAACGTGCAGGGTTGTCTCCCCCCCCCCCCCTCCTTCTCGTCCGCTCGCCCCTATGTGGGGCAGCGACGCAGCGCTTCGCACGGGCGTATAGAACGTGTACATGCCTGGTGGGTGTAGAGGCGTAACCGCAGCCTACCCACCGTCGCCCATCGCTGGGGTGGCGGAGATCCTTTCAACATGCGCACCCCTCCGAGTCGCCGGCTCGCGGCCTTTGCTTGGGAGCGGCAACCGCAGGCATCTGCCCACCCGACACCACGGCGGAGTCCAAATCCCCTTTTTGCACGTTCTCGTAAATCATTGTGGCAGTTCTCATAAAGGCATCATCCACATTTTGTGCCGTCTTGGCGCTGGTCTCCATAAACACCAGGTTGTTCCGCCTGGCGAAGCTCTCCCCCTCCTCCCGCGACACCTGCCGCTTCGCCTCTAAATCACACTTGTTCCCGATCAGCATAATCACAATGGCGTTGTTGGCATTCGCTCTCGCATCCTCCAGCCACGTCTGAAGGTGCGTGAATGTCTCGCGACGTGTGACGTCGTACACAAGAAGCGCGCCACAGGCACCACGGTAGTAACTTCGAGTGATGCTGCGGAAGCTCTCCTGCCCGGCTGTGTCCCAAATTTGCAGCTTTACGTTCTTTTGCTCAATCATCACCACACGCGCGCCAAACTCCACTCCAATTGTCAAGTCATGCAGTGGCTCAAAACGCTTATCGGTAAACTGAAGAAGAAGGCAGCTCTTCCCCACACCACTGTCACCAATGATGATGTACTTAAACACGTAGTGCTGTTGAGACATGCTAACGCAGTGATACGTATATTACTCCCTTTGTTGCTGTCACCTCTTCACTCCCTACAATTGACAATTGTATCTCGTTGCTGTTAATATTGCTTCTTTCTCTTTTTTTCTTCTTCTTTTTTTCTTTCAATTTCGTCCTTCTCTCCTTCTATTTCGTAGGCGTTAGAAATGATATATCCCCCTTTAATAAGGAATTCAAAAAAGGAGAGGCAAGAAGGCATGTGAAAGGAATCAAACCACCATACATGTAACATCAACCAGATTTCCTCACCCTACCGGCTGTACATGCGGTTCCACACACACACACACAAACAAAGAGAGAAAAAGACAGACGTGCAACATAATAGCCGCAAAAATGTTTTACATTTCTCCATACAACTGCGAAATTGTTGTTCCATATGACTAGCACCTCACATCACGGTTGTAGAAGCCTCTTCGAGAAACTTTAAAAGGTTTCGGACGCTCTCCGACATGGCATCCGCCGTGCCAACCGTCACGCCGGCGGCCTCAAAAGCATCACCGTATGGAGTCCGGCTTATTGACGCCTCCCCACTACCGATGTCGTTCTCAACTGCTATTGTCTCATTACCTTCTACACCTTCCGCACCTTCTGCACTCGAGGACGACGCACCTGCATCAGCCTGGTTCTTTACGCTTGGCGCCAATCGTAGAAGGCCTCTTAGAAGGGACATGAGGCGGACCTCTGCCGTCGCTTTATCTGTGGCTTCTGCGGCGTGACCTCCTTTGTGTAAATTGTCCACCCGGGATGCACGGTGCATCTCACTTGCAAGACGCAGCGAAGATCCTGTGCGCTGCACCGATTCATTCCGCGAGAGTACAGGAAGTTTCATGACCTCAACCAATGTTGTGGACCGATCCCACGGTTGATGCCGCTGTCTCCACATCCGTTCCGCGCACTGCTGCGCTTTGACAACGTATGGATTGCTCCAAAATCGGGCGACCTTGACTTCCATGGCGTTCATGTGGTCTTCCAACTCCTCAGCTGTCGAAATGGAGAAGTGAGGGGAATCCAAATTTTGCGACAATGAGGGGGTCCGAACACGTACGCTGGACCTTTGTCGTGTCGAGGCCCCAGCAACAAAACTCAGATGCGGTGTGGCACTCTGAGCTCGGTTTGTGACTGACCGCATGCACGAAATTGAGTCGCGTTCACGCAAAAGCGAAGTGCCGCTCGGTGAGTTTGACGGCGATACAAGAAGCGGCAGTAATGGGGTGGCGCCAAGCAGAATCCCAGACCACATTCGGCACCGTGCATGAAGGTTGTTTAACCGAAGTCGCAGCGCTCTAAGATGTTCCTCAGAAACCTTTTGTTTTTGCTCCTGTGCCGTCAACATCTCCTTGCAAACCAGGAATTGTTCTCGCATGCTGCTCAGCTCCTGCAATGTGCCGTCCTGCAGGGCCTTTGCACATACCTCATACTGTTTCAGATGCTGCATCACCGCCGCGTGGCAACGCCACGCGTGTTGTGTGTGTACCACAAGTATATTCATCTCCTTAAATATAGACGGTTGATTCGTTTTGTCCAACGCGGAAAGCTGCACTAAAATTCCATCAGTTGCAGCCACTAGTTTGGAAACACTTTTGGCCAGTGCCTCCAACGCAAAGGCAAGAGAGGTAGAGGTAAATGTGGTCGGTGGAATAGGCAACTCCAGCGAAGGCTCAACCAACAGAAAGGTGGGCTTAAGCTGCATCTCCGCCGCACTCCGCTGCTCTATTCGCATATCGCGAATTTTTTCTGCCTTCCGATTGATATCATCATGAAGAAGCACCTCCGTCGCATGCGTCATCGTGTTCTCAACAGACACCTCCCCCCGACCCCCGCCCGGCGTTGCGCAAACACTGTCTTTTTGTTTCCTCTGCGGCGACTCATCCGTGGACTCTGGGACCTCATCCATCAGCATGACATAAGACGGGCTTCCATCGGCGTCAACGATGGTCTGGACCTGCGCCATCATTCCATCAGTGAGCCGCGACGCCGCCTCCATCCTGCGCCGCCGGTACAAGAACGCCTGCGTGAGAGCCGTTTCGTCTATCGCAATCTGAGCATCGCTGCTCCATTGAAAGGAGGACAAAATCAGAGGCCGGCCGCGCGGCGAGTTTGGCTGTGTCATCCTTCCCCCTTCTTCTGCGTAACCGAAGCGGCCCTCCACCGCCTCTCGTCCAACGTGGCGACTGCTTGGGTGCCCACAATATGGGACGAGTGTTAAAATGCAAAGTCGGCAAGCTGTGCACGGCCAGCCAATTGCGGCAGCCACAGCGCACCCGCACGCACAATAGCCGACACAAACAAAAAAAAACGGAATAAAAATAAAGCATGACAAGGATGTCGCAAAATTCAACATAAGCCGCGTCAACGGGCGGCGGCGGCAAAAGTGGAGCAGTGAACATACTAAGAGAGAGAGAGCAAAAAAAAAAAAAACAGGGAACGCGATGACATTCTCAATGGTCAACTTTTTGGCACGCACGGGACAAACACGCCACCAGTCATCATTTCTCACCTGCTTTTAAGCGCGCTGCTTCCTGCATCTTCGCCTCCTTAATGTTGTCTACTATGACGCGAAGGTGACGTGACGAATAACGATTCCACAACGTTAGCCCGATGACAATAGCCGCGCCACCAGCGTATATCTTCCCAGGGGTCATGCGCATACTCATCCTGCTGGAATTCCACACGCACGCACCCTCCCTCCTGTCCGCCTGTAGCTCCACTCCAGCTATTGAGCAGTTCACCGTACGCTACTCTGCTTTCTGCTCAATCCCTACACAAAAACGGGGGGAAAAAGACAGGAGACACGTACATGTGTATACGCACACCGGGGAACCAAAACTTTCATCCACCACCATCCACTTCGGCCGCAAAACTTCCCAGCAACACACGTTGGAGGCACGTAGTTATACGTACAATTTACTGTCATTGACAATATTCCTCAAAAGACATGTCAACGACACCAACAAGAAAGCAGTGAGAGAGGCAAAAAAAAAAAACATGGCGTGCGAGGTGTGCTAGCTTTCGCGAGAGCACCGCCTGCAGCGTTACAGTAATGCTGGCGTTCACGCACTCCTCCTGAGCTAGATTCATCGCCACTTCCCTGTCTGCTCATAGCAAACGACGTTTGAAAATCACTCGCTCCGCCAAGGAAAAGACACGACGCATCTCAGCTGAAAAAGACGCATGAACGGTACGCTCGCGGACACAGGCCGCTGATAACTAATTTACTTCGCGACGCAGGCAATTGCACCGCACCTCCGCAAAACTACAGCAAGCAAGAAGTACGGCAACACTACCAAAGGAGCCGCCATCGTTCCTCTTCAAGAGGCTACAAGACGCCATCGCTGTCAATCTCACATTTTGTTATTCTGCTTCTTCCCGTTGACGTTGTTATCACTCACGGAGGCGCAGCTCGTAATCCTCGACAACGGCACGGAGAGAGAAATTTGCACGTCTGAGTGCGCACACCTCCCCACTCTCAAGGTCTGAGAAGCGGCAATCTTCCATTACGGAGAACGCCTGCAGCGGCTGTTGCGTCATTGCATGCAATTTTCGAAGCTCCGCCACATCCCGAAAAGTGGCTGATGACAAAAGCGACAGATCACAAAACGCATGCCGGACAAAAATTTCCCCCTGTAAAGCCCCTTTTCGGGTCCCACATACGTGGATCCCCTCAACAATCAATGTCATCAGTATATCAATACGGCCCCACATCTCTGCCCAGTTCAGCAATGCCAAATCCTCCAAGGAAATTCCACCCATTCCATGTGGCTAACCAACAGCACAATCCATGACATGCACCCCTAACCTCGCCGATGAGAACGCGAAGCTTAGGCACCCACACCACCGCCGCCCGCGGAGACAATCTCTCCCACAAAAACAGCATCTCCTCTGTCATACCACCCCCTCAGCATCCTCACAAAAAAGCCATAGTTCCCAAACAAGCCACGCATAAAACACACAAAACACAAAACATGTATATGTCTACATATACGCCTTAATTTCTCCTATAAATAAAATTTTTAAAAAAGGGGGAAACAAAACTATCCGTAACATCATTCTCATATCCGCAAAAAAGAACTCAGCACCAGACAAACAATAAAAAATAAACACATACAAAATAACAACCAAACAAAAACAAAAAAAACACTCCCACCACAACACTACAAAAAAAAAAAAAAAAAAAAAAAAAAAAAGACATCAACACAAACAACAAAGCACAACATTCGCGCTCAAAAATCAAATAATACGACAAGTGGAAAACCTTATATATACCGCAACGCTTAGACCACCCCAACTCAAAAGAACAAAAAAAACGCCGCAAAAGCGTGTTCTCCAAAAACAAATAAAATTCCGCAAAATAAACGTGGGGGGGAAAGGGCGTCTAGAACATTGTGACGGCGGCCAGCGCCACGGCAAGGCCGACGACGCCATGCACCACACCGAGTCCATTCACCGCCGTCGCATCGTGGCCAGACCGTGACGGGTGATGGTGAGATCCACTGCCATGCTTTTCGTTGGCAGCTGCCGCAAACTCGTTGATCCCCGCCTCGGGCGACGCGAACTCCTGGGCGTTGGCTACACCCGCACAGCCGCCAAGAAGCACAATGGCCAGCAGGGCGGAAAGGAGGACGAGCTGCGTAATCTTCATTGGAAGTCGCGTGAGTCGAAGAATGGCTTTGGTGGCTTGAGTGGTTTTACTGCGCAACGAGAGAAAACGGAGAGCAGCAAGCGGTGAGGCAAAAAAGGAGGAGAGGCAAGGGAGAGAGGGGGAAGGTCTGCGACACACGCGCCGCACCCAAGCCGCCACCCGCAGCGCAACCACAG